CTGAGTAGATCGATGCTCATGCTCTTGATTACCGGATTCTTTGGTCCAGACTCGATTATTTACAGGCCGCCGTCATATAACTGAAATATGTCTGAGTGCGGCGTAAAACTAAACTCACTCACCCTATAAAATCGGTATTAGTTGGCACTATAGTACAAGTAAGGCAAGCACGTCGCCATATAAATGCAATCTTGAACGCGACGTTTCAAACCTGCATTTGGTCACCTCATCTCAATTTTCAGAGATGACATCGGACAGAGGCAATCGATCGCCTGACAAATATAAAGGGAGATAACTGATATAGGTATTGCTAAGTGATGATTTAAGGCCGACCACCACGATTCTGTGAAATAAACTTCAATACAACCCACACTTAGCTAACAAAAAGTCTTGCGCAGTAATGACTGCTTACGTTAACGCTATTTTAGTCATTTTTAGTGACCACGGGTTTTACAATGTCCCCGAAGGCAAGGGAGACAACTCTTTCCGGATCCGTCTCGGTTATCGATAGAGGTCGTAAACCATCATCTAGCCGAAAAACGATCAGTGGGAGTAATCCTCAACAAACGGGGTCGTCAACTTCATTAATACTGGCTCAAATCGACACACTGCCATGACGTGAATCAAGAGATATGGTGATTCTACAGACACTCAAGATGAGGTTCCCCGTGGTATTGCATTGGCATTGTAACTTTATGAGCTGCCCCTTGACAGGGTATTTCAAGATGATCGTTGTTTAAATACAGGATTATGTTATGGTGATCTTCCGTGTAGGAAGACTCTGTGAAACATCCAGTGACCTGCTTTTACTTATTTAAATATGAAACCTGTCGTTTTATTTGATATACATCCATGTTCCTGTTTTGTTGACCATTGGAACCATCATGAGAAAAGTCATCCTTGTTTTCAAATTAGAGTTGCATGAATTTTATGTTTAATGACTCCAAACTGTCCTAAGTGATACAATTATGGTAGAATTCAATTTACAAGTCTATTTAAACACATTGTTGTCAATAAAAACAGGATATTGCTGCATGTGAAACAATTCCCACGTGTAAATTACATTTTCCCACCTAATGTCCTCAGATAGAATTCACCTGGGTAACCACGTGAGGTTGGTGCGTAGGTAACCACGTGAGGTGGGTGCGTCCGCTGGTCACGCCGAAGATCACGTGGTAATAGTGTGTGACGTTCAGTTCTGGGGTTCCCTGCCGTGATATTCCTGGAATATTGCTAAAGCGGCGTGAAAGCATATTCACTATGAAGTGTGAATCCTAAATGTGGGTAAAAGGCCAACACGTCCCTTTCAAATTAGGAGATAATATAATATTAACACATGCTATATTTGGAATTACACTTTCTCAGTAAAGTACAGATTCTATTACGTTTGTTGGGTTGAGTCCCATCAGATGACCCAACAATATCCGACACCATCCTGTCTGAGAATGAAGATATAGCATGGCCCTACAATATCCGACACCATCCTGTCTGAGAATGAAGCTATAGGATGACCCTACAGAGTCTAAAGTCATTCTCTCTGAAGAGGAAGGCGAACGATGACCTTTACAGTGCCCAACCATTTTGTCTGAAGATGCTGCAGTATGCCCCAACAATGTTCAACCATCTTTTCTGAACTAGAAGCCAAAGGATTACCCTTACAATGTCCGACCTCATTCTGTATTAATTGTTCGTACACACCGTACTTTATTATAATAGACCATGCTAACTTGATTGGCCAGCTGCGAACTATAACACTACTAGCTCCATACGTTTAGCATCACACCAAAACAACACGGATGGTCTCCTTGCCGTAGTCTTCATTAATTGTTACTGTCCCTCTCTTTCGCGGTTCCCCCGTTCCAGCTTATCCAGTCCCCGCTGGCATGTGGTCCGTCCTGCCTTAAACTGAACGAACGAAACAGTTTTCATATTCAATCAAAAGTGCCTTTCCAAGCCACCTTTTTTGTACGCCAACAAAAGAACCCTAACAAAACGCTTTAATATTCAGTCAAAAGTGCATTTACCATGCGCTCACGGAGACACACAAGGACACACACACAACTAACAATATCCATCTCCTTTCTCGCGCCTCAAACTACAGATAACACTCCAATTTGAAAAAAAGTCTTCTGTGCTTTCACTCCACTGACGGACCGAATGTAACGTTTATGCAACATTGTGTTTTATGTCATGGTTCTGGTGACATGCCATCAGAACGGCCAGTGAGTCTCATCGTACAACGCTTTTGTGCAGGAATGTATTGGACTGGTGAACGGGCCTCCAAGTTCATCCCATATCTCCACTAGTACACCACCCCTTATAGCAGGACATCCTTGTTTAGCACTCGTCTTGATTAGAACCCACGGCGAGCGGAATCTCATCCTGAAACTTCATCGACACATGTTGCGTACAATACCACTACCTCAGCCCACTGCAATCTCGCCGCACAGTTGGATGTTCCTTCGCTAATCCATTTCATGGCGTTGTGCGCAAGAGGTGTTTTAGCTCCAACACTCGACTGAAGATAATTAAAGTACTCGCAATGAAAATTGATCGCTTTGGAGCTTTTTCGATTGCTCATTTTTATTACAATTGTAAAACACCATCCGTCAATACAATTTTCACTAGTAATAACACGTGGTATAACACTAAATGCGATTGGTCAAGCATGTTGGTCATGCGAGTTTCGCCTGTTCCTTCATTCCGCTGTCAACAGCTCCTGGGATGACGAAATGGATATTTAAGGGACGCTTCATTCACTAATGAAGATAAATGTCGCAAGATCGATCCCACTCTGTTCGATAGTCGACGTGAGCTCTTGTCGCCTTCCAAGCACCATTAATGCGTCATTGGTTTTAACCAGGGCCTTCACGTAATCTTCGAAAGTAAAAAATATCCCTCTGTCTGTTCATTTTGCAAATGTGATTACGGACCCCGCTATTAATGTCGTGAATTACAGTTAATCCTGACCAACATTATCCAAATATTTTTTTAATGCGGCTAAGTTCTGGAGGTTATCACGCGAGTGTTGGCTTGGTAAATGTCTTCTGTTAGGAATAAACGTTGTATTTAGACAGCCTTAGCAAGCTATTGACATGTATGATGAGCTATTCAGCTCTTAAGTAACCTAAAGGCATGTATGTGCGTGCGTGCGTGCGTGCGTGCGTGCGTGCGTGTGTGTACGTGTGTGTGTACATTCCCAGCAACTCTGATGATCGTAAGAGACTGGTCGCTGACATAGTTGATTACAAGTCAGTCATCGAACGGCATTTGCGTGGATGGAGGATTATAATGTCCATCATCAGATTGTCTGGTCCGGCGAAGATATTTACAAAGTGGGTGTTGAACAACAAACAAACCTTTTTCTGTCTCTAAAAGACGTATTCTCCTCTATCACAATCTACACGGTCAGATATCAGTGAAAGATCGCCTTGATACTCGTGGTCAATTGTTAGACGCGTGCGTGCGTGTTTGATTGCTCGTATATGTGCTATTAGCTATCAGCGATTTTCAGTGTATTGTAAGTGTTCCTGGTCGAAATGATCAGAATCCCCGTTCTCTCTCGATCACGGAATCAGTGACTCGCTGACATACACAGTAAATAAATACCGTCGTGACTAATGCACCTACTTTGGAGGATTATCTTTATCGTATTGCTAAAATATACTGTTTCAGAAAAGAAAAGGTAGCAAATATCGTTGTTTTGAGCACTACATACTGCCTCGCCAAAACAAGTATACACCGACGTTTGTTGGAGCTTGAAAATGAAACAAACAAATTATGTCTTTTATACGGGTGTCGTAATTCAATTATGGATATTAGATATGTACTGTCTTCAGCCAAGACACGTACCCGTGAAGATTAGAGTTTGTATTGGTTTTCCTCAACCCATGCTTGTCGTAAAAGGCGACTAACGGTATCGGGTGGTCAGGTCCGAATTGTGTAGATCGATGCTCATACTGTTAATCACTCGATTGCCTGTTTCAGACTACCGCGATATAGCTGGAATATTGGCGAGTGCGGCTTTAAGCAACAAACCAACCAGCCAGCCTAGGAACGTTTTGATAGCGTTTTTATGTTGTTTGACTGATCTAGGTTTCAAACGTTTGCTTTCTTTTGCCCTGTACTGTATTACTTTTTAAGACGGCTCTATTTCAATTTAAAATAAATTATTTGTTTATGTCAAAATTGTCTATATTCAGAGACTAAGCGTTAACCTAGTGTTTCCCCAGTGTAAATTGTAAATCGATGTGATTCTGGATCCGTATGGCTGTATATGGTTCGAAAGGTAACGCAGTCCTTTGAGTAAGTAGTATGTCTTAAATGTAATCGTGATAATTCGTAAAATATAATAATTTGACGGTCTGAGGTTTGACGATTAAGGCAAATGGCGCTCTGTAGCAACAATAATGACAGGGACATATGTGTGATTTAACTAGCGCTTCCAGTAGAACTCGATTCAATATTTTGGTACCTCTTGTTAAATTACCTGTGAGGCCGCGGGCTGTGTGATGTACCGAGTTTCGCAACATGTCATCCATACAACGACGGGGGACACCAAACATAGACCACATACAGCCTGGAGAACCGAACCTGGGTCTTCAGCGTGACGAGCACCGCTTTACCCACAATCCTACCGTGACGCTAATTATGAATAAGGTGAGCGAAATAATAAAATCCCTATTATATTGTTTCACAAGTATTTTGTAAATGAGTGAGTTTGGTTTTACGCCGCTTTTAGCAATATTCCAGCAATATCACGGCGGGGGACACTAGAAATGGGCTTCACACATTGTACCCATGTAGGGGATCGAACCTGTGTCTTCAGCGTGACGAGCGAACGCTTTAACCACCCTGCTACCTCACCGCCCCTTGCAGGTATCTAAGATACTACAGCAATTGAGCCCAGGTCAAGCAAAGCAACAATTGCTAGCCAATGTGTTTGGTAGTTTAGATGGGACCTATCGTTGAGAGAATTGTTGATACAAACAAAAAACCAATGACAATCAAAGAAAGATTTTTATTTCGAAATTTACAGATCATAGATGGAACAATTTCAATCACAAAGGCAGTTTTGAACTCGTATATTGTTTTCATACACACTGGAGTTGACACACCTTTTACATCACCTCACTATAGCGCGATTGCTGGTATATAATACTGGCGTGGTACAATTGTCATGCATCACAATAAATAGGAAAATAACAACATTGCAAACAACACATCATTCGTGGGAATAGTACACAATGATACACATCCATAATAGCCTATACAACAAGCAATTGGCATTAAAGAATCCGAGCTTTAAAAGAATCTTTAACCGAAAATGAACGCTTTTTTGCAGCAACATGAATGGTCTAAAAGCAAACACTATTACACCCAATAGATTTTCCTTGTGCTAACATGCCCCTTGGTAACGATAATCTCTTAACTGGTTACTTTCAGGAAGGCATATTTGCATTAGTTACCACAAATAGAAAACTATGTGCATCTGTAAATAAAAATAAGCGACAAAAACTACATATATTACAAAGGCTCCCGTTGAAGTTGAGTCTATCGTAAGACTCTGAGCATGCGCTACATAAGCATGGGTTTATGAATGTCGGTACGTTTTCAAAAGCAATGAAATTGTTTTTATCGACACATTAGTGTATCAGTTTCGTGAACATCATTATTGATGAACAAAGTAAACGCAATGGGACAGTAACGGAGAGAGACAGCAGGGAGTAATAATGAAACGATCTTACAATATTATCAACAAGGTTTGATTACAAGTCAAATATGGCAAAATCAAATGCTTTTTGTCATCAAATAATACTGCTAATGATCCTTTTAGTCAAGAATCGTTGAGTAAATGCATTCGATATTTTGATTCACTGATGATCAAATAACTGATTTACAGTGGACGCACATTTGAAACCATTGTTGTTGTTTTATTCTGTTGTTGACCTTTCCACAGAAGTTTCTCACTTATATCGAAAATAGTCATGACGTGGTAAGTGAAAACAATGGAAAGCTCACAAACATAACAGCTGCAAAACTGTGTCCTAAGAAAACTAATTAACTCAATAATACTGAAGGCACAATGTGAAATACTGTGACAATTGCAAGAGTGAGTTGGGTGAACGCCGCTTTGAAAAGTATTCCAGTAATGGCGATGGTCTGCTTAACGTGGATGGAAAGCCCGAAGTGATGCAAGTCTCCGACATGTACCGGGTATGAAACACTATCGGGGCAAACCAAGGAAGGACTCAGAAGATGCAGATCTGTGTGCACCCCTTGATGAACCTCAAGGGTGAAGTTTGAGAAAGTATCACAACTGTGACCATGTTGAAAGGTTTTCCCCTTCCCCAAACCATAAAACATAAAACTTGATACTTCTTGATTCATGTTAGAGATTCTATGCCGATGGATGTGATATTCAAAAAAGTTGTGAATATTTACATATCCCTGGAAATCAACGTATTTTCGTCGTCATGAAATAATACACGCTGGCCCAGATACTGCCTCTGATGAACAGTGGGAACGTCTTTACAGAGTCTGCAGGAATCACAACCACACGTCAATCAGCCATGAAGAACCTGAGTATTGAAGCCACTGAAATCATGCTTCTTCCCACGGGAAATGTTTGTCCTCAGATCCGGAGCTTCTTCTCTAAAATCTCCGTGGAAGCTGCGCCTGACAGCAGACCTGTTGAAGCGGTTCTGAATATGAAGAAGAGATGTTTGTGGACGTGGCACCCCACACCCCGGCTCCCAGCCAAATCTGGAATCGTCCTTGAAGTCCAGGTTGAACTTCGGGAACTGACTATCGTATGACGTTCTATAAGCTATGGTATTTTTCAAATTTGATGGCATAAAATTCGTGGAGAGACTTCCAAATTCATCTTTGTACTCGGACAAAGCATTAGGCCTCCTCTTAAAGGTTCTGTCTGGAGTAGAAATGTCTTGTTTTGATGTCGTCAATTCTTTCAAGGGATCAAATTCGGCTCGGAACGTGACCTTGTGTCTCGGAGTCTTGGACGGTTCCATAGGGTTCTCGTTCTCCTTACTGTATAGTGCTTGGCGACTGACATACTGCGTGGTGTTCGTCACGTCGCTGTCCAGCATCTGACTCCTTCCGGCAGCACGTGTGATGCCTGCAGGTGCGGTACCCGACCTTATCGGCTGGTCAGGAACGACTGTTCTTATAGTAACGTTGTCCGAGAACTGTACGCTCTTGGAAGTCCTGTTACCGGACCTACTTCTCACATTGCTTATTCTCTGGTTTTCGTCGGACATAACTTGTTGAGGATGGTTCCTAGCGTTCCTTGGCAACTCATTCTCCTGAAGTAACTTGTGGACATTGTAGCTGTCCCCCATGGTGCTTTCTTTCAGAAGAAATTCTCCTTCTTGTACCAGAGGCCTCGCTGTCAATTCATTAGGCTGGAGCGTCTGTTTCTGGTTTTCTTTCCTGAACTGGTACGGCTGAAGAACTCCCTCGGTGTTCCTTCTGTCCCCACTGAGATTGGCCTGGGCTGAACATAGAGTCCTGCTTCCCCTCAAAGCTTCATCGTTGTCGTGACTTAATCTCGTGGGCAGTTTCTCAGCCCCGACGTGAGAGTGCAGCGTATTCATGATCTCTGGGCCGGACTCTGAAAGATTATTCATAGAATATGCCAGCCTCTGAGGATTGTAGCTTGTCTTGTACAACCCAGCTCTCTCTTCGTTGTATTTTCCTTCGTGGCCATAAAACGTCTGAGGTTTCTCCTTGTCCGTAGCGTGCTGATACTTCACGTTCAAGAGGGTGATGTCGTGATTGGGTTTCTGCAACTCCAGAAGGTTCCATCTGTTCTCAGTCTCCATCTGTTGTATTTCATAATCACGATCATCCTTTGTCTTTTTCAAGTAACTGTCCTCGGGATCCGGAGGGGCACCTGTCGGGGGGTAAGGCGCGTCTTGGCCCTCTTGGGTCGCCTTGAGGTCCTCCAGTTTCTTAATGGCTGGTTCAGGTTTGAAGCTCATGTCCATCTCTTTCCAAAGAGTGTCACTTTGAAGACTGTTACTGTCAGGCAGGTTTGTATAACCCTGGCCATTCAACAGACGATGTTCTTCCTTCTCGGTCAAAGTCATCTTTCTGCAAAAGTGAAACGCGAAATAGATTTCAACATTGCTGACCTCTCACTCTCTGAAACGTAGGCAAAACCCGACGTACGTAGTTGAATTCCTAATTGCAAAAGGTAAAGCATATTTAAGGTTAGTTTAGTTGCATACGGATTGTTAAAACCCTTCATGAATACACATTGCCTTTAAAATGTTACCTATGTTATTTTTGGGATAACACTTTCTCAGTAAAGTAGATTCTAGAAAGGTCCCATCAGGTATCCGAACCCCTACTCTTATGATTTTGTATCTAATTATATATTGGTTTACCTTTGATAGTTGGGATTGACCGGTGTTCCACTTTCTATCATCTTCTGATTGGCTGGTTTTGGAGTCAACATGCGAGCTATACGCCCTTCCATTGGCCGCGGTGGATCAAAGGTATTGCTGGATCTTGGATACTGCAACAAACAGTACAGTATGGTGACTGTTGACGCAATGTAACACGCCCAAATATAATATTATAAGTTATATGCTTCTCTCGAGGGTAATACGGTCTGATGTACGCCTCTTTGTAGCAGTGTCACCCGAGCCGCTAGGCAACCGACTGTATGACATGTAAACAAAATGCCTCTCGACTGGATTTTTAAAATCAGTGAAATATATTCTGCCAAGCTTAAAACTGCTATGAAAATGGTTAATTATGTTTAAGTTGAGTGTGCAAACCACTCAATGTATAAAATAGCATAAATAAAGCAGTGAAAGTCGGAAAAATAGTCTGTACAAAGTAAACACAAAAACAGCTGATCGAACAGTTTTCGGACCCCTGGCACGGCATGCGTCGGCGGAGAGCTTGGCGGTTACCGTGGCAGCGGGTAATATTTTTTCCAGTTGTCACCCTCCTGGGAGGGGTGACACGGAAACTTGTTAAAGCGTCATTGACCAATTAAATTAAAGTATTTTACATGAAGGTAGGATAAATATAGACGTAGCAAAGGAGTAGTGTTTCCCGATAAGTAGGAACGTGGTATTCATTATGGGCTCAATATTTCAGAGCTTGCTTGACAATATCAACAAACTCAAAGCTTCGAATATTATGGTGCATACGAAGACTGAGTCTCTGTAAGTGAGTAATTTTGACAGAAAGAAACAGCTAGAAGAAACGGAAAAAGAGTTTTGTCGCTTTTATTCACATATAAATTAGAAAGGATGTCCTTTGAGATGGGTGATTCAGAGCCTGGTGACAATGTAGACCTGTTTTATTCATAGATTTTGCATTAACCGAAAGAGCTGGATGGAATGGAAAAAATGTGGTTCCAAGGAACCCAGAGAGTGGCAGTAGAATATTTAAAATAACAAAATGATTGGTCTTGTTCCACAGAGCAAATTCATTAGAAGCAGTAAAGCTATTGGATCAGTTCCTTGTTCTGAAAGTGCCACCATTGTACGATGTTAGACCAGCTGATATTTGGTCACCACGTCGGTCAACCAGGAACTGGCCACAGATGCTGATCATCCAGATGACACACGTAATGATATACATTAATCTGTCTCACAGTCCCGAACCGCAATATTTTCTCTACTGTCTAGCCCTCCCTGCAATACCAGAGCCCTAAATGAAGCAAGTTTGAGTTTCCTCGGGTTCTGAATCTCCCATCCCACAGGGACTCCTTTTCTATTTAAATGGGATTACTGGTTACAATCAAAATGATATATATTCAGAGACTAAGCGTTTGTCTAGCTATATTCAACTGAAACTCACCAATTTATCGTCTTCGATGCCAGTGTCTAGGAAACGGACTCGCTTTTCGTCAAGATTGTCCAGTTTCTGGGTATTGCTTGGCCCTAATCCTGTATAATCTAGACTGTGACTAGTTGTCCAATGAGATCGTTCGACATTTCTCAGTGTGTTTGCCGTGCGGTCTGAAACCTTCATCTCCATTGGTCGATCCTGTAGGTTCGGTGCAATGACTTTTGGAGGGGTCGGGTAAAATGGCTGTCGGTTCCCATGGGTCTTCACCAGCTGCAAACACATATGAGAAAATAAGAGATGTTTAATGCCGCACTTAGCTATATTATAATATTAGCTATATTAAGGGGGCCCATCAATAATAGTCGTGCTTAAACAAATTAGTTTTTATTAACTTGATTCTTAATAATTGATATTAAGAGAAAGGATCTGTACCGTCGGATGCGATATCGTCTTTACGTCAATATTTATAAAAGGGGAACGAATTCTGTCCTCATGCTATATAATTTCGGAAATTTGGCAATCCGGTCAATCACAACCATGCTATTATTGCCCATATTAAAGGGGGACTGTGTTATATGCTCAGGGTTTCCAAATAAGATTGACAGTATACTTGTAAATACTTACAAACTATGGGTGTTACCCTGTTCATATGACACACATTTATGATAACTGTGACTGTTAGTCCTCGATAAAATGCTCAAAATATGTGAAACTTTCCTTCAATGTTTGTGTCTGCCGTTCAAATAATTTGAAATTTCGGATAGGTGTAGGGTCAGCTTGAATCGAAAAAAATGATAATATCATTCTGGTATGTTTTCTAAATGGGTAACAAACAGGAGCGAAGATATGTTGCTAAAAGAATGTATACATAACATGTTGGTGGCTAAATGGGTATTCGATGTATTTGATACGGTTGTCATGGATACGGAGTGTACCGGTGACTGTTTTCGTCCAATACCAATTCAATACGTGTGTACTTTTAAGTCAGATTCAACTATTATGTGTCTACTTTTTTACCAGCAGTTAAATAACCTCTGTAACTGTTTCTTTGAATAATTTACCTGATCAAAGAAATCCTCCCCGCGCCAGTAAAGAGCCTGCTTCTCTGACTCTTTGGGCAACGCCTGTACCTCGTGCCGGTCCCTATAACCTGCAGTGACAAGCATGTCATGATATTGGTGAGTGTGTGAGTGAGGTTTTACGCTGCTTATAGCAATATTCAAGTAATCTCCCGGCGGAGGATACCAGAAATGGGCTTCACCAATTGTACCCAGGTGGGAATCGAACCCGAGTCTTCGGTGTGACGAGCGAACGCTTTATCCAATAGGCTACCCCACCGCCCCCATGGAGTTGGAGTGTCCACTCGGAAAATGAACAAAGTTTTTGTAAACTTTTTAAATCACTAAAATATAGTAATGTTGAATGTGACGCTATGAATACTTTATTTACAAAACTGAAGAGAAACAGGACCACGGCATGTTGACAAGAAATCCTATTCGGTCGAACGAGGGACCACATTGTGCAGAATTGCAAGCCTGACACTGAGAAGTATGGACATAGGTTTGAAGCTTACTACAATAGGGGTTTATGCGCTACATCCCGATATCAAATTTTCAAGATTAGACTCATAGTGACGAAAACATTATGTACCAAAGCCTATTCGTCTCCCCTCGCCGCCATCTTTGACGATTTGTATGCCGTTTCGGGATGCTATGACTGCCGTGTTGGGATGCTATGAATGCCGTTTTGTACGCTCGGCGACCGTTCTCGCGCGCTCTTGTAGCTGATACGCGAGTTTTGTTTCCATTTCAAACGATTAGTCTTCCATTACAGATGTATTGTTTCGGTTTTAGAGGATATTGTTGCAGTTTTGGTGATTTTTGTTCTGTTTTGGTGTATATGAGTTCAGTTTTGATGATTTGTTCACCGTTTGTATGGTAGGCCTGATATATCCAGCATTATTCCATCTACATGGACCTGTGAAGATCCGGGTTAGTAACCCATGCTTGTCGTAAGAGGCGACTAACTGGGATCGGGTTGTCGACTCGCTGACTTGGTTGACACATGTCATCGGTTCCCAATTGCACAGATCGATGCTCATGCTGTTGATCATTGGATTGTCTGGTCCAGACTCGATTGTTACAGACCGCCGCCATATAGCTGGAATATTGCTGAGTGCGGCGTAAAACTAAACTTACTCACTCACTCGTCTCCTCTTAAAACGAGCATGGGTTGCAAAGATTAACTCTGTCAAGTTTTGCAACATGAGGTCCATTGTTTCACATGCTGCATCTATTAATGGACAACTTAACATATGAACTAAAGATAAATGCGATGTGACAACGTTTTGATATTTAGGTCTGATTAGAATATACTAGTAGTTATGGGTGGTGGAGTAGCCCTGTGTTTAAGGCGTTCGCTCGTCAAGCTGAAGACCCGGGTTCTATTCCTCACATGATTACAATGTCTGAAGCCCAACTTGTGTGTCCCGCGCTGGACTACAGGTACAAATGGTGTGAAACATCACTCATTTTTCACTCACTCCTCATGTTTATATTTTTGACTAACCACATTCTCATAAATATATTTACCGGATTTCACAGGCAAGGGTAGGTAACTCTGACCACACTCATTCTCCATTTGTTATCAACTCATTTCGGGTAAAGCTGAAATGTTTATGAAAGGATACGGACAGAGTGTTGATAAATATTGATTGATTCATTTATCACTCTGTATCACTGTCATCCTCGATAATCTCCAGGGTATACGTTACGATCACTCTCCACAATACCCTGGATGCATCAAAGGCTTGGCGCAATGATTTTATTACCTCCCTTTGCTGGCTTTTTATCCAATCAGGTGTCTACGCTGGGAAGTTGAGCGAACCAATCACAACTCACTTTCGCTTCTTAAACTAACCGTTTAAACTTGGCAACACAATTGATGCAGAAGTACTCTGAAAGAGGTAGAAGGAGTTCTTTCATATATTTTTTTAAAGTTTTTAGATCTGTCAATTTGTCTGTATGATATCCCCAAAAATATGAGTGGCACTGAGAACAAACCTTCGCGACTGCGACCGCTATCTTTGTTGACACTGGCAAGCTCGGATGTAACGGCGGTTTAGCTGATTGGCTACTGAAAGAATGTGGAGCCAGCAAGGGAGGTAATATAATTATCGGGCCAAGCTGTGGATGCATCCAGGGTATAGTGGAGAGTGATCGTAACGTATACTCTGGAGATTATCTAGGATGTATCACTGTATGTCTGTTTGAAATTTTGAATGCATTGACAAATAGCCCTGTCATTCTAAATAGAAAGTTTGGTGTAACCGTCGTTTGAAATTACCCTTGCCATTTAAATAAATGACAATGTATATATACTAGAGACGTTTACCTTTCGTTTTATGTTTGATCGTGACGTCAAACGCGGAAGCCGGCATCTCGGGGTTGATCGGCTGTTGACTCCTAGCAGCCACGCCCCTTTTTGGATCTTCCGGTGAGTCAAATTTGGGGAACACAGCAAACTGCGGCATGTGGGACGTGTAGGGGTGTTCCGCGGGGAAGGGAAGATTGATGAGTTCCTTCCTGAAATAACAACATGTTTATTATTCGAAAATGACAATTGGTACAATGGAATTACATTTCTGGATTTGCCCTACGACTTGTCTGCCATTCGTTTGTTTCGTTTTGTGTGTTTTACATGCTACCCAGCATTATTCCATCTACATGGACCTGTGAAGATCCGGGTTAGTAACCCATGCTTGTCGTAAGAGGCGACTAACGGGATCGGGTTGTCAGACTCGCTGACTTGGTTGACACATGTCATCGGTTCCCAATTGCACAGATCGATGCTCATGCTGTTGATCATTGGATTGTCTGGTCCAGACTCGATTATTTACAGACCGCCGCCATATAGCTGGAATATTGCTGAGTGCGGCGTAAAACTAAACTTACTCACTCGTCTCCTCTTAAAACGAGCATGGGTTACCAAAGATTAACTCTGTCAAGTTTGTATCAACATGAGGTCCATTGTTTCACATGCATGTGCACATGCACTTTCAGATGGACAACTTAACATATGGGTTAACTTTAGGCATGCCGAAATGTTTCCATTTCCTATAACATATTCATAGTGTAATATGCTTACCCCATTTCAGAGTCTTGTGGGCGAGGAATGCTGAAAAAGAACGAACAAGGAAAAATGTTCACATTCATAAACCATAGTCATAGTGAGCAAGTGAATATGTCAGTTATGTCTATGTCGGTGAAAGGACCAAACTGATAACCCTTGGTGACACCCCTATAGTAAAGCACCATACTCGCACACTATATAGTCTGTTTGCAGTGAAAACGTACCGATGAATTTCACTTTAAACAAAAAAGTAAATCAAATAAAGTGAAATTAAGATTGCGAATACTCATGATTTTACCTTGCCAGTTGAACATTTAAATCTCAAAATGTTATTCAAGTTAGGATAAAATTTGTTTAACAAACGATCATAGATTCACGTCGCTATTACTGGTTTGTATTACAAGGGGGTAAGCGCAGTAGTTGGAACAGTGAAACAAATGCACGTGCGGTACTTGAAGAGCGTTAACTTATAAGAACCCTTGTCGTTTTTTCGTTGTTTCATTTGATCTGCATACCCCCTTGTAATGCAAACCAATAATAGCCATGTGAAACTATGATCGTTTGTTAAACAACTTTTATCCTAAGTCGAATAAAATTCTGAGATTTAAATGTTCAATGGGCAAGGTAAAATCATGAGGATTCGCAGTCTTAATTTCACTTTATTTGTTTTACTTTTGGGTTTAAAGTGACATTCATCGGTACGTTTCCACTGCAAACAGACTATAATACATAATGCTTTTTTCAAAAACTTTTCAGATGTTCACCGGATGGTTTAGGTAGGCATACCCCCGAACCTTCGACTTGACCCTTGCGCCCCAGTCTTAGCTAAGCCCCTGGTGATAAAGTCGCCCAATGTTTAGCTGATGGTAAAAGTGTTCTACAAGAGCATATGCCACGACGCCTTGCAATAATCAGCCCTGGACGGACACACCAGGGGTCAGTATCTAAAGACACGTCATCAGTAGTCTGTCTCAGTCTTCTACTTCCTTTGTGGCCAGACCTTTCTGTAACGCCAAAGCACTAATTGAACCAAGTCTAGATTTTTTCAAGGTTGTGAATTTCCCTTCTCACTGGAGCTTCTTTCAATTTACATCGAGTTAGCTATAACACATTATATATTATGAGACTGAGCTTCACTCCATGCCATCACCCATTTGTTCATCGTTATCCAGTACTCACAGCTGATCATCTTTCCTCAAGTTGCTCCGTTTCAGCTGGGTCAGGGTGTAGAACTGCTCTCTTGGCTGGCCTCTGAAAGAAACCGCCATGTGTGATTATTTGGAGGATGAAAGACGCCTGTATATGTGAGTCGCTTATGGTATAAACTATTGGAAATTGGGATGCCAACAAAGAGGGTACTATTTTGGAGGTCAAGCCCTGCTAAGTGATATCGGAATGCCACTGTGCAGTACGATGTATGGTATAAAATGAGTATCAAATACCCGGATGCCAACATGTCATCGTTGATGGCTATTTTACGATTTTTGTGACAAACGTGATAAATTAACGTTTGTTAAATAAATAATGTTCTATGTCTTATGGTATGAACACGTGGTATGTGAACAGAAAATTTTGTAAATACTGATTACAGCACTACAGCCAGGGACAATATGTCGACGACAGACATTTGCAGCTTAGCCATAACCCCAATTCGTGGCCAATCCCGCATTCCGGAACCCACGGAAACATTCGCAACTACTCCTATCATTCCGGCAAGCCGGATGGCGACTCGTACCCCTCTCGTGACCATGTTCACGACTGGGACGAGTCTAAGCGCAAAGGGGCGGAGAGATCAAAATAGGACTATTTCCAAGGAAAGATAACTCTGAATTTTCAAACATGGCAACGCCTAAAATTTATAACACAACACGAAAGGCACTTTAAGTAAGTTTCTTATGTCGTTAACAAATATCAGTAACAAGATAATTTTACAATCAAGGAAATAATAATGAAAATCTAAAGAAACTATTTGACCTCATTTCACATTTTACTACGCGCGATTTGATTGGTTTGCCACGATTCATGGCAATAATGGCGCACTATACAGGTGCGAGTCTTCTTGTACGTCACGGAAAGAGGCGAGTAGTTACGAATGCCACGGAAAGAAGCGAGTTGTGACGAAAGCGGTAACCCCGTTGTCGTGTTCCACATCCCGCCTTGTATAAGTCACACAGATTTATTAATGTGATAAGACCTCTTATATGACGCTAGTCGTACTGTTGTAATTTATTTTGGAAATTACGGTATCGCTGCATTCGTAGTATGATGCATTAGCTCTTGAAATGTCCGATATCAATAAATAAGTAATATCTAATATTACGTGTGTATTATCTATCAGGAGTAAATACTGGGGTGAGGTGGGCAGTGGCGCTACCTGACGGTACTCATGCTGTATACGTAAACAGTTTTCTTCGATGGGAAATTTCGAAGTTGAGGTGATGAAGAAAGATGATAATGTTTTGGATATACAACTTCTTTATTCTTTGAAAGGCGACGTTTGACAACGACATTAGAATCTATGTCGAAACGTCGCCTTTCACAGAATAACTTATCCATAAAATTATCATCATTCCTCATTCTACTGTAAAAACAGTGTCTCAATGATGATGATGATGATGATGATGATCGTGATAGAGAGAGTGAGCGAGAGAGAGATGAGAGAGAGAGAGAGAGAGAGAGAGAGAGAGAGAGAGAGAGTGAGAGAGAGAGAGAGAGAGAGAGAGAGAGAAGAGAGAGAGAGAGAGAGAGAGAGAGACAGAGAGAGAGAACGAGTTGTGTTATTCATAAAGGATTGAAATGATTGTATACACACAAAGGTGCAGTCTGATCCGCTCACATCCTTCCCATACACCCCATATTTCCAAAAAGATATTATGTTACTGTCCATAAAAACCGTCAGGTGAGAAGCATGATTTAGGTTCAATTTTTCAATTCTAAATTGAATTTTACATTTGCTCCCTGTACGAGGTTATGAGTGTTGTATTTGACAGCGTTTAAAATGGGATTTAGAACACTGAATCATCGCTCTCTCTTCGCCACAGACTTTTCTTTGTGACGTAGCCTGTTGCTGCTTGGCAACAGATCAATAATTAAACAGATCAAAGAATGAACCCGATCGGCTGTGAGAGAGAAACAAAATGAAACACTGAGATCGATATTTTTTGAACGCCTGGATTCCCAATGAAGCGCAAGCAGCGTTATCTCACGTGGGCATTAATTAACGACAAGAGATCGAAAGTAAATATGGTAACCATGGATACAGTCCGGGTCAATGATGAAGAAAGAAATGCATGTCAAAAGGGTGCAATTACACTTCCGCATTTAGCGGATAGTCAATGAACCACACTACAAGAAACCAATAAATAGTTATTAATTCACAACTCATATTTATAGATGCACTTCAGCTGCAAAGAAAATCTGTATGGATAATTGGTTTTCACGAAGACAGTACCACAGTGAAAGGGGTCAGTGGCCATTATCCCTGACAAAGCACTCATCTCTGTCAACGAGACCCTTTATCCTCCCTCAACCACTACACACATACACATACACCGACCCGACCCGACCCGACCCGACCCCAACCCCGACCCCAACCCCAACTCCACCCCACCTAACACCCAACACCTGGACCTATCTGACACAAACGGGTTGCAGGCGAGTAACACCTCGGTGGAACTGTGAGATCGGATATAGAGCTGCCAAACCAAGCATCATAATCAGGGCGATACAGGCAACCACTGATCATAGGATGCTGGCATTACAAGGGGACGCAACTCTCCGCAACTAATTACGGAGTCATTGTCGCTGATGTGGATGAATGATGGATGAATGGATGGATGATGTAATAATGACAATAGATAGATACAAACTGATCGATGAAAAATAGATTGATCGATAGATAGATGGCCGATGCATAATTATATAGATTGATGCATATATATTTCAAATACATATACATATGGCAAGAGGTGAGTGAGTTGGGTTTTAAGCCGCTTTTAGAAATATTCCAGCGATATCACGGCGGGGGACACCAGAAATGGGCTTCACACATTGTACCCATTTGGGGAATCGAACCCGGGTCTTCAGAGTGACGAGCGAACGCTTTAACCACTAGGCTACCCCACCGTCCGGATGGAAAGCTGTAGTCGCGCTGTATTGATAATGATTTACAGTAAACTACGGTTATTGCGAGGTCAAGGTGACCAATAATTTTAGTTCGTTATGACCGTAGTTCGCTATGCGCATTTCGACAAGCACGACACCCAAAAATGGTTTCTTATAACGGTTTCTTCGTTTACATTCATGTTCGTTACAAACATAGTTTACAATATTATCTACAGTAACACGTGTCAATTCAAATTGATGAGAACTTTCAACACTTCTCCGCCGTGATATTGTTGGAACATTGCTAAAAGCGGCGTAAAACCATACTCACTCACTCACACACTTCAACACTTCTCCGCTGTGATATTGCCGGAACACTGATAAACGCGGCGTAAAACCATACTCACTCATTCACTTCAACACTTCTCGTGGGATTTTATAAACTTCATCTGTCACACTTAACAAACAAACCTTAATTCGCTGAATTCAGCAATGTTGGCTTAACCAAGCATTAATCCCACCGTATGCCACCAGATCGAATATATTTATCCACGATTCGTTTTGACAGCCTAAACACCCACGTATCCGCCCCAAATCTCGAGGGCATAACAGGTGACAAAAATCAACACAAGGTGATAACACAATGTGTTTGTTGACAGCGTTTGTCGTGTTATCCATTTCCCTATCGTGAAGCATGATTCGCGTCTCCAGGTCAACGCTTTTAACCTCAGCAATTACATTCTCTTCAATAAAACAAGCTTCAAGTTGTCACAGGAGACTCGGTATTTGTATCGACCGTCTCTTGTCAATAAAGCCCCCGCTGTTAACCCTTTACTGCAGGTGTCGCACGGGGTCTGACCACGTTACCAACGACGGCCTCAGCAGACTGTGGCTGGGGATTACGGCGTATTTTGATATAACGAAATATAATAAATGACTTTGTTCTTGTTTCACAACTGTTCAATACCACATGGGTTTTTCATGTTGCGTGGCTGAAATTAATACTCACATACATTTAACAAAGTTCACATCGCTATGGCCTATCGCCCTTTTCGAGAATAATTACGTTTCGTGTAAATCATGAAATGGGTTGGCCTAGTGGTTAAAGCGCGGGGATAAATCCGGGATCGATTCCGTACATTGTGTGAAACAAATTTCTGTGGTTATCCACCGTAACAGAGAAGGGCATTTCAAAATGCGACGTAAACCCCTACTCAACCATTCAGTGGTATGATATTCGGTATTTCATAGATTTGAAAACATTTGGTTGTCCTAGAACCGTCTGTTACCATAGCCACGAATCAGAATAATTCTGAATAACTGTTTCAAACGAATATAGCATTTCAAATCAGTCAAAAACTTACCTGCCTAGAATATATAGCTTCCCAAAGTAACAACGTCTTGCAAGATATGTTCCCTGGGAATATAAGTATGCGAACTTCGAGAAAAATGACTATATTCATTTAAATATATAACCTTCTGAGCTATGTTCGAAGTGTTTCATTACAGTTCAAGCATTGTTTTGATAACAATGTATAAGTGAGTGAGTTTGGTTTTACGCCGCACTCAGCAATATTCCAACTATATGGCAGCGGTCTGTAAATAATCGAGTCTGGACCAGACAATCCAGTGATCAAAAGCATGAGCATCGATCTACGCAATTGGGATACGATGACAGGTGTCAATCAAGTCAACGAGCCTGACCACCAGATCCCGTTAGTCGCCTTTTCGACAAGCATGGGTTACTGAAGATCAATTCAAACCCGGATCTTCACGGGTAAACAATGTACAATATATAAGTAAAACAATACGTCTTACGTAACATAACAGAAGTATTAATGCAAATAAGTTTCCCTAAGGAATACTCAGTGAAATGTCGTTAACTTCGAATATTTTTAACTCGATATGCCCTTTTACTCGACGTGACTAAAGGTGCTGACAGAACACTCACAGGACTGTACTTGTTTTCTTGTAGACAATGTCAACATTGCTCAATGCTGAACAGAATATGTCGGTGTTTTATTTATAATGCAAATGTATATCTAATATATGTCTATATATATGTGGTTATTATTCAATTGTAAATCTTTCGCAAAACAAAAATGATGATTTCATATTCAATGTTGGCTTATGCTTATATCATGTGCAGTAATTGATGAACTCCAGGATGTAGAGCTGCAAAGTCAAACTGCTCACTCTCATTTGCCTGTATTATGGGCCAAAGGCCTCTTTACTGAATAAAAACTGTCTGTCCATATATATTCCTTACTTAATTATTACCAAATGCATTAGGAAGGTGGAAAAACCATGATTTTTGTAAAAACAAACACCATGTCTTTCACGTGCTCTTTATGCGATCTTTTTTATGCCCCTCGAACCAGACTCAGTGCCTCATTACCCAGTGCATTATAACACTGTAAGTACGCCCTTTATTGATAGGCCACCATTACGTACTAATGTTATCAATACGGTTGATTAATTCCTCCTTGTCAATACACGCAACTTCAACTGTCATATACAACATGCACAACTGACAGTCAATTGAGATAGTATTGACTGCACAAAGCTTTAGGCTACAGTGACATTTAACTCAATAACCTTCTTCGCGCATGGGTACGTGGTCGTTGACAACGGTTGAGACGTGTGGGGAAGTGTTTATTATATGTATATTAAATTCAACGAGGAGAACGTTTTTAACGCAGCGTCACATCAAACGGGTTAAGTACAGTGTTACAGTGAATGGAAGGCGGGCTGTGGTAGGTACCGGGTTTGAAATATACATGAAGGTTGATATTAACGACATTGTGACATGTTGCCCTCTATAGATACTAGTTAATCGTTTGACATGTACACCTGTCAATCATCCTGCGAGGTCATTCATATCAAATGTACGAGTTCTACAGTACGCTTTGTGAAGTCCGGGGTTAATCGTTGGATGGAGATCTTTCCGACATGTCAATTGTCAGCACTTAAGTCTGAACAACTGTCAGTTCCGCCTAAAAGATGTACATTAAATATGTAACTGCATTTAGAATGACAGAATTGTAAGAAACGGGTAGAGATTCAATGGAGGATTAAAAGTGGGGGAGCGAGTAGCATTAATTCAACGGACATTTTGTTGTTGTTGTTGTTGTTGTTGTTTCCAACTATTCGACTGTGGTCTTTAAATAATCGAGACTGGTTGGTTGGTTTGATGTTCAACGCCGCAAGCAGCAGTATTCCAGCAATATGGCGGAATAAATAATCGAGTCTGGACCAGACAGATCCAGTGATCTACAGCATGAGCATCGATCTACGCGATTGGGATACGATGACGTGTTTCCGTTATTTGCGCTTATGACAAGCATGGGTTGTTGAAGATCATACCAAAAGACGCTAAAATATGGTATTTGTTGGTCCCTGCCTGGCCCTCGGCTTTAATGGGTACAACAAGGACTGGTCGGCTCGGAGTTAGTATAATGTGTCTGAGTGGGGTATTCATGCTAAACTGCGGCATGGTATCTCAGTGAGTTAGCACTACAAAACCAGCTTAAGTCTGGGCTTGTACAAGCAACGTCACCACACACGCATCCACGTCGTCATATGAGCGAAATATTCTTAAGTACGACGTTAAACCCCATTTTACCTCACCTCACCTCGTGCGAGTGAGTATGGTTTTACGCCACTTTTAGCAATGTTCCAGCAATATCACGGCGGGGCACACCAGAAATGACCTTCATACATTGTACCCGTGTGGAGAATCGAAACAGGGTCTTCGGCGTGACGAGCGAACGCTTTAACCACTAGGCCACCCCACCGACCCCAGCTTCGTGTGGAGTAAAACCCGAAACGATGCAGGTGGCCCCCGCGAACATATGTATAGTGTTCTTACAGATCAGGATCATAATCGTGACAAGAATAGGATTCAAACCAGGGTCAGCGGATCCTGGCACGACTAAGGAAGACGATGCTAGTCGGATACATCTGTGAAACGTTGGACAACACTTAATCTACACCAAATGCCCGACTGTGTTCAAATGGTAAGCGGTTTACAAATAACAAAGTATACGTTATACATTCAGCTTATAGAGAGATAATAGCACGTTGGCGTGACGTAGAGCTCAGTGCTTAAAGACAGGATTAGGTTAACATGTCTGTTGAACTAACTGATAGATACACGTACATTGATAGGTAATGATCAGAGGAATTGTAGCAAGAAGTACATGATATAAGAGTCGAGGTGTTGGATACAGCTGTAAAACGATCTGGGTAATACAAAGGAGTTCTAGCATTGGTCGTTCTGCCTAACTAGACATGCAAGAGAACTATAACAGATGGCGTCACCTTTGGTATTATCGATTACTTTAAATGCAACAATCTGTTCCGTCAAGTGGAACGTTTTGTCTACATACTGGCTAGGGTTAATCGTGTGAGGCTTGGGTACACAAACGTTCTTTCGTGTTGTAAGGGGATGAATGTGTTATTAGAAGTAATACATAACATGTTTACAGAGGTTTCAGGAGTTTTCTCATCACTATCATCGTTTAAGTCTTCTTTTCGTCTTTGTCTCGTCGTCTTTGAGGTGTGTTATTAGTCTGACGAGGGCCAAGACGATGTTCAGCTTTTTACAAGTTTTAGATTTGTGGTATTTTGTATTTTGGGTTAATGGTATTTGTTGACCATGTTTAAAATTAGTTGATAGTTACATGACCATATTCAGCGTAAACAGGAATAGTTTTGATGGCATTTGGCAAAAAGACCTTCTTTAACTTAAACAAAGATTGAATTGATGGCATTTGAATAGCTAAGACTTAGACAGAAAGTATTATACAGTCTGTTGTAAGAGTAAGAGTACTATATTATAGAGACAATCTGTTAGTCGAAAGACTTAGGCATATTTCAATGTATGACATATGTCCATGTCTCTTAATTTTAAAAAATCAGTCAATCAAGCATCAATCAATCTGTGTGTAACATGAACATATATTGGAAAGTAAACACTTTCCTAAGAGTAATTACAGTAAGCATCCTGCCCATGTTATGTTATAGGTTATAACACTACAGTTAATGTCATTACTCTGATACGCATGAAGGACCATCCTCCTGCCTCTACAACGATGGAAACTATCGCATCAACATTACCTTTAATCCAAAAACACCATTAATCACAAATCACCAATCAACGCTGTATGTAGCTATTTACGTATCCATGTATCTCATGACATACGGCAAGCAACATTAACAATTAATTAACTCCACAAAATATCCAATTCCTTCTCGATATCAGATGTTGTCTACCGACGTTAAATATTAATCTTCAGACACATGAGTAATATCAAATGAAGGTCACTATGGAAAATTGTCTCCAAGACAAAGATTATTTCGATCGATTACTGATCTAAAGTACATGTAACTAATGGGTTTCCATGATGTGACCATTGCAACTTACCAATAGATAACGAAAGAGACAGTACACAGAACATGTTGTCTTTATCAACATTGTTAAGACAGATCTAATCTGAGTAAACATGATCATAATTATTTCCTAATTACATATAACCGTTATATTTACATAGCACGCGTCATGGAATTGATGTATATATTTATCTTTTTAATTTTAGTTTAATTCATGCATGTATTTCAATTAAATACATATAACGCCACAATATGAATTATATTCAATTAAAAATGTAGATCTATATATCATTATATATATGAAACCATATATGTGGTATATGCATACCATTGTCATGATTTACGATAGTTGTATACGGGATCAAAGCTTTGTGAACAAATACTGAGATCATTATTGTGTACATAGCTACTCACTGACGATAATCCAGAAAGAACACAACTGATAATAATACTACTCACTCGGGTGAGCCTTTCTCTACCGCAATACTTACGAATAATGCCAAGTTGGAGTCCGAGGTATCCACGGATCTACATGCTCTTTAGCTTTCCCTGTACCCCATTCTGGTGGTTCTCTTCGGCTGTGATCGCGAGCTGGTCGAATTTCAAGAGATGTCATTTTCACTGTCTGAAACTTTCGCCTTTCGAACAGAAGTGTCCTCGCTAACCGACTGCATCCGGGCACTAGCGTCCCTAGTTACTTGGTTGGCATGCTCCGATCTCGCGAGTTGGGTTGGTAGCGAGACTCGCACACCTTAGCGCCCGTTTCAGTGCATGCTATACGATAGCGATTATGATCAGAGATTTCCGTAACCCATACAGTGCTAAGTAGGGCGTGTGAGCGGTTTAACCCGCATATCCTGTCCGACAAGTGATATTAATTTAGGCAGCATTTGATTCGGTCGAGGAACAGTTTCCTGGCTGGAATAATATCCTCTTATACATTTTCCCCGTAAACTACATTTAAATTGATCTGGAAATTATTTTAAAAGCTGTTTGCTCCTTGTGGGACTTTAGAATTGAAAAATGAAAACAGAACTATCAAATATAGGAAATTCAATTGTGAATTATCGATGTAAAATTTCTTTTGCCCCTCTAAATACTTTGTAAAATATGTTTTTTTGGTCGAAAATACAAAACACATATCTCAATTTGTGCGTGGCTGACACGTTACTTATTTAAATCAAATACCTACGAGAAACCAACATCGATGACCAGTACTAACCTGGGGGATTCAACCCGAGGATCAGCAGATCCTGGTGCCACTAAAGAATTGCAACTCTGTCTTATCCATATTTGGTATTGTTATATTTTGTCCCTTGTGTATGGATGTCATGTGTCTCCTTTAAGGAAACCGTTGCACACAGCAATCTCAGCGCCACAGTTGTCATAATTCAATGTTGAAAAATGGAAATTATGACAGGTTTAGTACCACGACCGCTTTGTGGAACAGGATTCTGGTGGGTGGGCAATACACGATGTTCTAGCGCACACACAGACACACACGCACGCGCACAAATGCAGACACACACACACGCATGCGCACACACACACACACACATACATACATACATACATCCGTGCACAGACACACACACACGTCGCTAAGTACCCGGTTCAATAACCTCACGTTATCTCTGTTTATCTGGACAAGTATCCAACATTAGCAGAATCGGAAATAATTAATATAGTTACATGATATAACTGCTACCGTCCTGTTACCACCCATGGCTCCTGTTGTCTTAATACTTTCTTGTCACGTATTCACAGTACATACGATTTCGCTAACCGTGCGTGGAGAGCCTTTCTGTTTTACGTCGCTATATAACGTCACAACAAAGGTTCAATATCAGTTTTTCTCTTCCCCATACCAGCTAAAATGGAACATATTTTAACAAAGAACATACAAGAATGCATTGTCATGCTCCTGTGACGCTATGAGATAAATATCTGAATTATTGAACTAGATATTGATCTATCACATATGGTTTAGGAATGACGGTATGCTATCTTTAAGGTTGCCAAGGGCAACGTTTTGAAGAACCACCACAAAAACGAATTCGTCTCAAACAGAAATCTATAAACCAATTATTTCTAAGCTGCATGCTTTGTATTGCGATTAGAAGTGCAAACATTCACATGCATTCGGACAAAAATACATCACTTTTATTCTCGTCCCACAACTTACAAGAAACCCGTAGACAGTGCATCAGTATTGATGTAAAATTCTTTTGTGTTTTTTTTTTAAAAAACAAAAAAACATATCATCGTACGCGTGTCCATGGAAACTAACTGTTGTCTGAACTTATTACAAGGTGCAAAGCACTTGATTGGATAAAAGTGATTCAGGCCGTTAGCAGAGATGGGGTAATGTTGCAGAAAACCAATTAATAAACTACCTTCATAATGGTTTTGGAGGAAGTAATTGAGTTTGTCTGAGATAGCTGATTTACCGCTGAATGATTATTTTGTCATTAACGACATTCTCGACAGATGGCATTGGTGATATGACAGTAATGACTAAAATATTTATTTAAGAGACAGCTTTAGGTGTAAACAAATACAATAAACCTTTATGAGATTAATGGCGTTGGTTGATATAAAATTATTAATAATTAATTTCTATGGAGATATTTTCTATAGATGGTAACCGTTCAATGTTTGGAGAGCAAATAGGTGTATGTCAATTTTCGATATTTATTCTAACATTGGTACAACTCATTAACGGCCATCGTCATTACCATCATCATCATCATCATCATTTGCCATCCATTACCACTAACATTCCTTATCATGTATAAAATGCTTTTAACTTTCTTTAAGGGTCACCCGTGAAGATCCAGGATAGAATTGATCTTCAGTAACCCATGCTTGTCGTTGGAGTCGACTAACGGGATCGGGTTGTCAGGTTCGCTTACTTGGTTGACACATGTCATCGTATCCCAGTTGCGTAGATTGATGCTCGTGCTTTTGATGACTGGATTGTCTGGTCTAGGCTCGATTATTTACAGACCGACGCCATATAGCTGGAATATTGCTGAGTGCAGCGTACAACTAAACTCACTCACTCACTCACTCCTTTATGGGTCATGATGATGATGCAAATAAGTCCACAAAGGCGTATCCATCAGCTGGCAAGGCGAGTGCTGTTGTTTTTTCTTGTTTTGCAAGGGGATCTTCACAAAGAAGGTCACAAACACATGCAAAGGAAAGTCAAATGTTCAGCTGAAAAACACACAAGCAATTGGTACAGGTCGAAATAGGAAATGGTATCGGACCTGATGTCTGTATGTCAAATATGCAAATGTCCTCAATATATCTACTATAAAAAACGTTTTGAAAGCTTTACCAAATCTGAAATGTCATAATCCTGCTAAATCAACTTTTGAGCAAGAGTCGAACGTTGAGCATGCTAAAAAACTATTCAAATGTAGACACCAAAGACCATAGCTGCTGGAAATATGCTCGACATACAGGGAAAGTTAACATTTGTCAAGTTGAAGTCGTCCCTTTTGGCACAGTCTGTGGCTAAGTTTTGATTTTCTATTCACAGATCAAGCAGTGAAACAGATGACAACAATCGAAGATAACCCAAATTAACGTTCACCTTGTTTTTGTATGCATAAATTGTATGCATTGTCTTCTCTTGTACCACCGATGGTGGTTGATTGAGAATAAAGGAATTGGAATTGGTATAGATAATAGGGAATCACGGCATTTATTGATCAGTAGATGATCGCTGTTGCTAATAATTGACAAAACAAATATGAAGATTCTATATTTATTTACATTCACAAATATATTAATTCAGATCTTGACACATTGTCTGAATGCAGAGTCAGATCAGTTGTTTTTACGCGTCATACATATTGTCCATGATATGTCCAATGGCACACGGGTATGAGTCAAGATTTCTTTCACACAACATGTACTCTAGTCCAAGGCGTTTAATCTGAGAGTACAGCTAAAAGAACAGCCAGGGTTAGAGGTACTAATTAGTGGCGTGTAACAACAGGGGGCTAGGGGAACGGGGGCTAAAGGAATGATGCCAAACAGATTAGGGGTCACTCGATTCTTCAGGTTGTAAATCATTGAAGGAGAATTGGCCATTTGACCATCAATGAAAGATACATCTGATAAAGGTAAACTTCCGAGCAAAAATTCCGATTCAAATACATACGAAAACAGACAAGCAGTAAATAGTGCCTACTCCTTTCTGAAACACCCATCTCCAAATTTCACATATATGTACGAGTAGGATCTTAAGCGTTTCGCCTGTTAGACCATGAGCCAGGAGCTGAAAACTGACATATTGATACCACTCAGAGGGACCAAAAGTTTTAAATAGTGTTTTTTTTATATTCCTTAATGTCTCTATATATAAAAAATGTATGATGGACATCTCAATTTGGTAGCTCAGTCTCACAACGAGGTTAAATACAAGATGGCCGCCAACCCCCCAAAAAACCAAACCCCCACCCCAAAATTAATCGTGTGTAAAGTTCAGCAAATAGGTTGGAAATGAAAAGAAGGAGGTAAATGGTTCTAGCAAGAGTAAAAAGATTGAATTAATATCAAGTTGTGTTATTTCATACATTGTACCTTTAAATCACATTTTCTTTCCTGATTTTGTAAGAGTCAAAATTGTAAGTTCAAAGAACATTTTCCAAAAGTCATCATTTCATATTTGTGAAGACAGCTCTTTAATTTCAAAGAGTGAGAGCACCTCCAAGTTCCTTAAATTGGTTAGTGATAGTCACTGTTCTGCATCATAAACATCAGCTTCATGATCAGTGTCACTCTCCGGCATGTCATGGCCCTTGCTTACCATGTTGTCACAAGTCTGGTTCCGACATGTCACAGTGCATATTAGTCCATTGGTAAGGCATTGGCAGTTTACAGACTGCTGTGCACTTGCAAGAAATGAACTCAAGAACAGCATCTGGAGCAAGACATCCTGATATCCAGCAAATCTCTGTGACCATTTTCTTCCACCCATGACCATCTGTTGGATATTCAGCTTCCAGGCAGTTGTTCCATATTGCAGCTTGATAGTTTGCTCTCAGGATGCTCATCGATATTCAATCAAATCAGGGTGACAATTGTCCAGATTCAATTGCCCCTCTTCTCACTACAAACGTTTCATAAAAGGCGACTTTTGGTGACAACAGCCTAGGACGGAATGGGTTTGTTCCAGTTCTGTTTCAGTCTACCAAGGACATCATCACTCTCTGCCTTAGCATTCTGGAAGATTTCCAACGGGTTCATTTTCTCTAGCGGCTCATCTTTTATGATATTTATCGACAACATCCATAACGATAAGCTGTGATACGAGTATGAAGTAAGATATGTGGGGGAAGTCACCTGTGATTATATGACCAGTGGTTTGATGAGGCTCTGCATCATGAGCTGCGATGTCTAATTTCTTACTGAAGAAATTTGTCTTCGTAAAAATAAAATGTATTCCCATACACGAAATGCACAAATTGAATAGTCCACCATTTATAATGTCGATACATAGCTTACTTGGGTCTTATGACGGCACACATACCCACCAAACAAGTTCACTTTAGTTTTGTAAGAAATTGAGGACAACATTTTTCTCAGCATAATCGGAAACTGATTACCTTCTTAAGGTCACTACTATATGGTATTTGGGCGGTGGTGTAGCCGAGTGGTTAAAGCGTTCGCTCGTCATGCCGAAGATCCGGGTTCGATTCCCCACACCTGTACAATGTGTGAAGCCACTTCT